ATATCAATTTACACGAGCTGAGACTGTGGCAGAAAAATAATCAACTGAATGCCGGGGTACATTGGTGCTCTCTTTGTGCGTTCCTAGGCCATTCTCTCCAGAGTACAGTCTCATCTTATTTGTTTTTTACACTGTTTCCCTTAGCTGTCAACATCAAGTGTAGGCTTGGCACAATTCATTGGTTTTTTTTTTATAGTTTCAACAGAAAATATCAGTGTTAATTTTTAAGCATTTTTTAATTTTTATCTATTTACATTTTCCACACTTGTGCAAAATTATGGGTTTAAGCATTTTTTGTATTGTTCTTGATTTAAATTTTCACAGTTGCAGGAAATTACGGAAAGTCAGACAATAATAATCTAATGACAGCGGATGGTGAGATTCAAAAAACTAAAGCTTTATAAATGTTAAATCACAAACTGTTAAAATCATGTCAAAATTTTATCCTTAAATCAAACTCTAAGAAGTTCTCAAACAGCATTTTTCTTACTTTACCAATCTGTACATTTCTGTTAATATTGATGGAAATATTTTTTGTCATTTTGTGTGTGTATGGTGAAACTGACATTTATCGACATTTACCGATAAAAATCGAATCCTGCTGGGTCTAGTTAAGTGTCACTGTGAGGTTGGATTTGAGTAGCTCGTGTATATAATGTACACAGAAGCGGATGACCAAATGCTTATGGTCAGACTATGTATGATCACCAGATCCTATTTCATTTTTCAAATCATGAATGCAGAAAGTAGCAAAGTCCAAAAAGAAAGCTGCACAGCATATTTTATTCTTGGATTGTTTGTCCTAGTATTCAAAGCTGCACATGGATGTTAGGCAAGAAGAAAATTAAGGAACTTGAGGTAACTTAGTTGTCAGTGATTTATTATATGATACATTGCAAACCTCCCTGAAGCCCCAATCCAGCAAAGCACTAAAGACCATGCTTTTTGAAGTCAATGGGATTCCACATGTGCTTAAAGGGAAGCACATGCTTAAGTGGTTTGCGGGATTGGAGCCTTAAAGAAAGGAAAAGTTGACTATGTTGCTGTTTTTTCCCAGTAAAACTGTTATTCACTAGGAAGACTTCTTTTTTCCTCAACAAAAATCTGAAAATCTAGTGCGTTGTATTGACCAGTAATTACTTGCAATTCAAACCTGAACACAATTTATCAGTACAGTTCAACCTGTGCTTTTGTCCCCTCCAGTTCCCTCCCTTAGCAGCTGCAAGATTCTAGTCACCACAAGACTTACTGTCTCCCTCATATGTTTTTAATTCCTCATGTCAAGAGCAGCCACCTGTGAAACAAACTTCTGACCACATGCTGGCTTGTGCAGCACCTGTAAATTATTCTATGGTACCTGATAGGAGGAAAGTTACTCCAGCTGAGCCGAAAGAAGATGAACAAAGAAGATGAACTGGTCACTGTGTCAGGGAAAAAGTGGCAATTGACAAAGATGCAGACTAACGAGCTAACAAAGGAGCAGAGAAAAATGCTAAATGAAAAGTGTGGAATATGAAAGACAATAAGTGTCATCCATGAACATTACAGCAGTAAGATTAGCAGGAAAATTGCAAAACAGGGATTTCCCCCCTTGTAGTTGTAAACAGATCCCACTAATTAGAAGCTGTTCACTATGCTAACAACAGACACTAAAATTACTATAATTCAGAGATACTTAGGTCCGAAGGGACCACTGTCATCATCTAGTGTGACCTCCTTATAACACAGACCATAGAACTCCCCAAAATAATTCAGAGAGCATATCTTTTAGAAAAACATCCCACCTTGAATTAAAAATTATCTGTGATGAATCCACCATAACCGTTGGTAAATTTTTCCAATGGTGAATTACTCTCACCTTTAAAAATGTATGCCTTATTGCCAGTCTCAATTTGTCAAGCTTCAGCTTCCAGCCATTGGATTGTGTTATACCTTTCTCAGCTAGACTGAAGAGTCCATTATTAAATATTGTTCCCCATGTAGATACTTATAGCTTGTAATCAAGTCATCCCTTAACAGTCTCTTTGTTAAGCTATATAGATTGAGCTCTTTGAGTCTATGACTGTACAGGGGGTCTTCTAATCCTTTAATCATTCTCATAGCTTTTCTTTGAGCCCTCTGCAATTTATCAACATCCTTCTTCATAGCACTGAAACAGTGTTGGCCGAATTCTGCCACTTTTATTCATGTTGATTAGTACCTTATTGTGCCAGGTGCTCCACTGAAATCAAAGGGACAAATCGTGGAGTAAAGTACTGCTCATTGTGACTGAATGTAGCCATGTCTATATGAGTGGTTTAAACTATTAGATAGAATAATGTTGTTGTAACAGGGACCATAAGTACAAAACAAGACAGTGGAGACAGCAAACCAGGTGGGAAAGCATGATTTTCAAACTAGCAACAGATGGCTTGAGAGCTGGAAAAAGTATTACTCTATAATCATCCAAATACTGTTGATGTCTATGGGGAGACTTTTGTGAATTCTAAACTGTCCAAGATCTGTTTTTGCTATCAGTCCAAGAGCATATGGAATAGAGATGAAACAGGATTGTTTTTTGTTGGTTTCCCATAAAAACCATGGAAGCAATGGTAACAGCAGACTCTTAGTAAATGGAGCATGTATTTGGGGGTGGAAAGTGTCAAAAGAAAATCTAATGGTTGTGGCACAAAAATGAATCTTCTTGATCAAAGGGATTCATGATGCATGACAGTTCTTCTTTTAAGAAAATGTGATAATTACAAAAAGGAAAACTAATTGAAATTGCAGCTGCTGACCATATAATAATCGGAGGGTGCGGGGGGGGGGGGGGAGAAGAATTCTTTTTACTGAAGATGATTACAATAGAAATATTACTGTAGCAGCTACACTTCAAAATTAAAATGTTATGTACAGGGGCAATATCAAAATGTAAATGAAGAACAAGTGACAACTGTTCTTTCTGACAAGCACCTTCAACAAAAAACATAGACCTCCCACAAGATTAAATTTATAATTAAAATTACAGGAGAAGGCTGTTGTGTAAATAGCGATGAACCATGTGAGATAAGTTTATATTCTGCAACTATGCTTTTAAGCTCTGGAATTCTGTGTCTGATGGAGTTCCAAATCAGTCAGTTGGAGCACAGCTGGAAATGAGCTTAAGTATACTGACTGGTTAAACAATGAGGTGCAACGGGGTTCAAAATTAGGCAGAAGGCATTCACCTATCCTGACTGGAATCTCTGAATAAATTCTTCTCAAGGCAACTGTGCCAAAATGCTGATTTTTTTCAAGAGGAAAATATTGGATTTCATCCCAGTCCCTAAAAATGAGATTGAAAAAATTAGCATGTTTACCTTAGAAAGGAGATGAATAAGAGGGGACATGGTAAAAAGAATATAAACGATGAATTGCCTAGAGAAGCTAGATTGGGAACTTCTGTTGACTGATAAAAAGGGGACATTCACTGAAATTAAAAGGTGGGAAATTCAAAAGCAATAAAAGGAAATATTTTTCCACACAATGTGTGGTTAAACTGTGGAACTCACTACCCCAAGAAGTCATTGAAACTTAAATCTGAACAAGACTCAAAAAGGGGTTTGATAGTTATATGGATATCAAGAATATCCAGAGTTATCATAATTAATTGCAATAATTTTGAAAGGGTTATTAAACCTTGAACTTCAGGATTAACCCAACCTTTAACGAGTAGAGACCAAGATGAGACCTAATGTGTGTGTGTGGGGGGGGCAGATTATCTCAGCTCTACCTGCACAAGGTTCTTACACCTTCCTCCAAAACATCTGATGCTGGCAACTGTCAGAGACAGCAGCGTGGACTTGGATTGTAAACTCTCTGGGTCAGGGACTGTCTTTTTGTGTGTGTTTGTACAGCACCTAACAAGGTTGGGCCTTGGTCCCTGACTGGGGCTCCAATGCAGCATGATAATACAAATAAACAAATAAATAATAATCAGTGGACCTTGAGTCTGACCCAGGGTGGCATTTCTTATGTTTCTAAATGTGCAATAAATTCACTGCATGTAATAAAGAACTAATTCTGGCTCCAGGCAGTAGCACTGGGGATTTAAGGCATTAATTTTTTAGTATGTATTAGTCTATTCATTTACATTCAAATGATACTTACGAGAGTAAATATTGCTGAAGCCTCATTATATATGACTGTTAATATTTAGAATTATACAGCTAATAAAATGTTTGTTCACATTATTTTTTAATCCGTGAATGGCACACTTTGCCGGAGGGTTATCCAAAGTTCCATAGCACTACGAGGCATAAAGTAATTCTCCTGGTTAAATATCATTAGAATTTAGAACAAAATTGTGTCTTCCTTCAAATAATGCCAAATTAGTGGAGTTGAACCCTTATCTAAATTCCTAGTTACACATTCATTGCTTAGATCAGCTATCTCCCCACACTTATATATTTATCAATGTTTCTATTTTCTACTGAAACCTCTCAAAAATGTTTTGGAACCGCACATTCTCTCAATCTCTTTGGCTACAAGTTATTTCTATGAATAATTCAACAAACAATCTGCACTAGGACTTTGTAGTATAATAAAAGTTGATTCTGATTCTGTTCTTCCACAGGCTTTGTAAAACTGTCTTTGCCAGTAGAAACTGTAGAAAGGAATACCCAGAAATATTTATTTTATGAAGACAACAGCACTAGACTTAACATCTGCTGCTCAGCTCAGAGTATCTAAAATGGGATAACTGTAACTGCAGGCAAATATTAAAATTATCCAGCAAAACTTTCATACAATTGATTTCAGAGATGTCAAACGAACATGTTCTATAAGTGAAATGAATGTATGCTATAACTTAAGAGTAAGAAAACACCCCGAGATGATTATAGAACTGGGTACATTTTCATTTAAGAGTCTCTGAGATTTCACAATGCTGTAAAAACCATTAGAAACATGTGAATTTTCAACAACATGAAGACTCCAAAGACTTCCTTACTAAAGATAAAAGATGAAAGGAAATACTCTACCAGTTGGATCAAAGTCTGGAAAATAATCTGGACAATTCTGAGCAGTGACTCTTCCAGCAGGTGTGTCATCCCAGCACAACCATCCATCCCAAGTTCGGTTGCAGAACAGACCTAGTCATTTAGGAAGAATGTGATAATTCATTTTAAAAAACTGATCACACTTAACCCACTCTGTTCTATTCCTCCACTGTCCACTTGTTGCACAGTACAGAGTTCTTCATGCAGCAAAATAAAATTATTGCTACACATTGAATTGCATTCAAATGTAAGTCTTAATGTCTGACTGCCATTGCTGGTGGTGTCCTTCTTGTTGAAAAGTGATGCTTTTTCGCCAATTGAAAAGAACTTCCAATATAGGGCCTTATCCCGCAAAACCAAAAGTCCCAGTTCAGCAATCCATTCATATTCAGCAAAGCATTTAAGCACACGCTAAAGTGCTTAACTGATTTGGGGATTTAGTCACATGCGTAGTACATGTACCTTCAGTTTTTCAACACCTTTGAAAATCAGGCCCTGATTGTATAAAGCTGGAATTTTAAAAATTTAGAGGCATGCCCAGTTAAAGGCCACTTTTGAATATGTAGGTTTCTATATTAAACACTAATGGAAAAACTGTGGCTTTTATGTCAGAGCCCATGATTAGGGCTTCTGATCTTAGGTTTTAACCAACAGACATCAACAAAAGCTCCAATACAAACAAGCAAACAGAAAATAAAATTGGTACTTAGCCAATAAACACTGAAAAAACACCAGAAATGGTATCTAAGGGCTTGTCTACATAGAGCTGTAATGTGTTTGCATTTTTACCTTCAGTCCTTTTGGTACGATGTCCATCTGTTTGCATTATTGCTGTAATGTGGACTACCAGGGTGTGACTTCTAAACCACATTAATGTGGGGTGCATGAATTGGTCTGTGTAGACCCTGCAGGTGTCCACTAAAGATTTCCTAGTGCACTTTACTGTAGTGCTGTTTGAAACAATAGTACTTTAAAGCACACTAAGGAACATTAAAGAGATTATTCATGACAATATATGCAAAGAGAAAGTCCTGAACATCCCCCTCCCTCCAATTTTTGGACACCTACATACAATTCAAAAATTGCTAAAAATACACCCCCCCCTAAGAAATTAATAAACTCAGAAAAAACAGATGCCCTACCCATGATGCAGAGGTTGCAGACACAGACCCAGGTCCTGCAATATGATGCATATAGGCCAACCCCTGCCCTTGTGTGCAGTGCAGGAGCGGTGCCTTATTCAGATTTCCTCCCAAAAGATCCTGGGGGATGCAGATTACAGCTCTGCCACCCTTCCTCTGCTGTATTACACATTCCTCCCCATATCAGGCTAGCCCCACTGCTTGATGCAGTCCTGGGAGAGCCGAGCTATAATCCTGTCTTGGGCAAGTACCACTTGTTAGCGCATAAGGAGGTAGCACTGCCTAAGCTCCCTAATGGGGTTATGCCCAGCCCCTGAAATGGAGCAGAAGTGGGTGGGGAAGATTCCTTAGCCCTTTTCCCCACCATACTTATCTACCCACTCTGGTCTGGGCACAACTGAGTCCTGACTTCCCTCTTCTAATTGTTAAATCAGAACTAGTTTACAGCCTGTTACACTGAGTTCACAGATTGATAGCGTAACAAATGACACCACAGTTTTGAATGCTGTGACATAAATCTGCCACTAGCTGCAGGTTTAGAAACAAATGCAATTAAAAATCTAAGCTTTGGAAGTATTTTTAATTTTAAAATCAGATTACGCAGGAGAAAGAACATTCACTGCCATGGCCCCCTGCAACACCTACTGAAGTCAATGGACATGGAGTCATTGACTGTGGTGATCGGGGGTAACATGAATTTTCAAAATCCTTTGATGGTTGGTGGGGGAGATTTTGAAAGGCACAAATGGCAGTTAGGCTCCTAACCGACACTAGAAATTAACGGGATTTGGGCGTCTAATTGTGATTGTGCATTTGAATCTCTCTCCCAATGGAAGCAAATCTTCTTAAAGAAAGTGACAGCATTTATAACAGATGGAAAAAGATTTTAATAGATGACTGAGTTACTGAAGAAACTATACCCATAGTAGATATTTTAAGTCAGTAGATCTGTTGTCTAAAAATGGACGCTTTCAAATTTAATGTTTCAGCTGAAATTTACCGTGCAATTTTTCTTTTTAGGATCACTTGTTTTCTTATTATCTAAGAATCCATGTATTTTTATTTTTCTCCAGCACATCTGTGTTGATAATGAACTACTTGTTCAGGTTATTAACAAACCATGATGTTATCTCAGTGTGGGATAGAAGTACATACCCTCAGTTAGTTATGTTTCTTTCTGTAAAGCACTTGACTGCCCTTCTCCAAGGGTTTGAAATATATTTGCATGAGCTTGAGGAATTAGTTGGTAAAATCAAAAGCAGAGAAAAATAGCAAAAGCACAGTGCAATTCAAACACATTTCTGAAAGGCACTGCGGACTGGGCTGTATAGGAGGCTTTGATTTTAATTTTTAAAACATTTGTCATGCCTTGAAATGAAAAAAAAAAAACCACTGATGTTTTTCAATACACTATGCAGCCTTTCTTTCAAGGAAAACAACAAGACAATTTTTTTTCACTGGACATATCAGATATGCACATCTAAGTGATAAAATAGAAAAGTGACAATCAGAAGAGAATAATGAATTATAACTGGCCCAGGAATAATACAATTTTGAAAATGAAGGAGGGGTGGGGGAAATGCTTCTCTTGAAATCACTTAGATTGAGATTTTGTGCTGCAACTTGAAGGCAGACTATGGCGGCTTTAAGTCACTTGTGTGCCCTCCCAGTCCTGGGCTCCTTCAAAGGCTGGAGAGGCTCCTGAAGTATAAAGCCTTGGGGTCTAATTTATGGCAGTCTCTCTGGGTTGCCCTATGGGCTGTAGGGTGCATGGAATTGCTGCAGCTTTGCATGCTGAAGCCCTGCTCCTGATACATCCACTAAACCAAGGGATCCTCTCCTCAGAAGACAGCATTATAGCTGACTTCTGCAATTCCTGAACCAGGGCAATCTGCTGACAGGGTATTTAGAGCCTCTTTATGCTGCTCCAGGCCTTTTTTTGAGGTCTAAAGGATTGAAGTGAGGGGTAAAGGTCTTTTTTCGTATAGATTTTTCTTCATAGAACCAAACTGGAAAAAAATCATTTCATACATGTTGAAATCATCTCAGTTATTCTCATCATCATAAGAAATAAAAAAACCCATATCTTGTATCAAACCCAGCTGAATCAAATGACAACTTCAGTCTAGCTGTCAGTCAGCGGCACATAGGAGTTGCCACACTGCACTAGACCAGCATCCATCTCCTGTCTGCGGTAGAGCAGCAGCAGAGGAAATTGCAAGAAGTCCTGCAGTGGAAATTAGTCCCTGATCCTGCAAATCCTTAAGCACTTGTGTAACTTTACTCACACAACAAATCCCACTGAAGCCAATGGAACTTTTTATACAAGTGAATCTACACAGGTTTGCAGAACTGGGGTCTAATAGAATAAGCTGCCCATAACAGATTTTTTCCCCCTAAAGCCCAGCAATTAGAGTTTTGCTTTTGCCCTGACACATAAGGGCTTATATCCCTTAATGACTGGTTTATCCTGTCTTATAACTATGGAAGTTCTCATTATGGACCTAAATCCTATGCCCATTGAAGTCAATGAGAGCCTTTCCACTGACTTCAATACACTTTAGATCAGACCTTGAACATCTAAATGTCAAATCTCACAGAGCTCAGTAATATCCTGTGGGCACAATAATATTTTGTGGTACTAAGTCCTTTAGTTTACATATCCATTGTGTAAAAAAATACCTTATTTAATCCAATATAGATGTCATAAATTTGTCAGCTTTCAATTTCAACAAAATTCTTTGTTCTTATATTATGAGAAAAACCTATCTGATTTACCCTCTCTGTACCATCCATTATTTTGCATCTCTTATCATGCCCTCTTTTAGTTGTCTCCTCTCTATACTAAACAGTCCCAATAGGTTTATTTCTTTCCTCACATAAAATCTCAATGCCTGTAATCATTTTGTCAGCCTTCTCTGGCTTATTTTTATTTCCACGGCATCCTTTTCGAGATAAGACCAGAACTGAACACAGTATTCCTAGTGAGGGTGCTTCTGGATTTATATCATGACAGCATTATACGTCCCACATTATTTTCCATTCCATTGCTTTATACATCCCAATATTTTGTTTGCTTTTTTGACCACTACTCCACAGAACCAGCCTTAGGTGTACTGTCGCCCAGGATGGAAAATGTGCCCACCCTTCCTTCAAAAAGCACACACACACACACAAATTGAACCAAATTAAAAAAAATCACGACTCCCCGCTTTGACCATGATTTGGTGCCACTGAAAATTGGCAGCCTACAGCTGGCCCAGCCACTCTTGCTTCAGCAGAGGTTTCTTTGAGCTGTTCACAATAATGCCTATGACTGGATGGTTACATTTAACCTAGAACACAGTACATTTAGAACATCTACGTTAATTTAGAAACCAGAAAGGTGTCAGTCAATAAATGAATTATGAAAAAATGAAATGGCTAGTTGAAGCAAATAGAATGACATCTATAGTGAAGAGATTGCTAGTCACATTTTCTCTCTTTAAAGTATTTGTGTGGGTTTGATACTTGTGAAAGGTGCTGGACTGACAGCCGTAAAGACTGATGTTCCCAAAGTATGAACAGCAATAATTCAAGCTTCACTGCATTGCCAATGCAGTGTGCCTCAACGGTGTCAGGGAGGAATGATCTCTAAGGGTGAGAGGATAGTTCATTCTCTATGATCATTTGTAGGGCTATTCTCCCTAAAACTGATACAATAGGTGATAAATTGGTATATTTTGCAAATGCAGACAGTAAGACTATGTATAATAATATTAGTACACAGAAGGAAATGTTCCTTTACAGTTATACAGAAAATATGTAATTACAGGTTTTTTCTCCCCTCCCCCTCTTTTGTTTTTACCTTTTTTTCTATATGGTGGATCTCTGTTCATTCTCTCATAGCATTTGAACTGCGAATCTATTATCTTCTGTCGTACTGGTGAATGTTCAGTTACTACAGGCTCTAATGTAGGATCAGTATAATTGACAGTAGAAGTAAGACTTGGAGCCATTCTCTGCAGAAAGGAAAATCTGTTAATGAAAGTGAGTAAAACCAGGAGGAGAAAATCAAAAACATGAGGTTCAGAAATCTCTGTTATCCTTACTTCAAAGGCCTTTTATCTGCACATATGCTTAGTAAATTTTATGGAACTTTTATCTTTGGCAAAGCAAATTGTAAAGATAGTAGTTTTTCTCCACTATAAACTCAGCATTTTAACCACATTCTTTCCCTTACACTAGGTAACATAAAGAATCATTAGAGACCTTGAAAAGGCTGAGAAACTTTTCATTTGTATTATTGGCCTACAGGTACTTTTTAAAATCTGCCCTCCCACAAGCAGCTGCTCCCAGCTATCCTTTCTAGTCAAAGTAGGTTTTTCCACTGTATCCAGCATTGTGTATCTTATTGCCATATCTTATAAATAAACGGAATGTTTCATATTCTGAGTGATAGAATATGTAGCCCCCTTTGATTACAATGGGCTATATTGTGGCATTTATTCCACAGCCCTGTGTGAGGACAGGGCATACTCACACTACTCTACTAGAATGAGGGAAAGACTGTCTCAGCCAGGGAAAATCTCTTCTGTGCTGGGTCAGTGCTCATGGGAGTGCACATCTTGTTCCACCCATTAAGATCTGATTGATCCCTCTATTGCACCAGACCAACTCTGTGGGCCAGTCTAAAGTGAGAGAGCATGGGGCTTTTGTTCCTCTCCACCCTACTCCACCCCTGTTTTGTAATGTGCTCCCGATGGGAGGAGAATGGAATGAGCAGTTCTTATGGTCCCTTTCTTGTTCGACTCCCTACCTCTCCACAACAGCCATCACAATCTGGCCCATAGGGATTTGTGGGTGCTTTTCACCTTTAAAAATCAGGCCACATTTATTTCGGTGCATACATTTTTTTTGGAGTGTAACTTCAGGCACCCAAGTTTGAAAATGTAGGACCCAACCTTTACTATTCCAAGCCTAAAATAAAAGGAGTACTTGTGGCACCTTAGAGACTAACCAATTTATTTGAGCATGAGCTTTCGTGAGCTACAGCTCACTTCCTTAGAGACTAACCAATTTATTTGAGCATGAGCTCATGCTCAAATAAATTGGTTAGTCTCTAAGGTGCCACAAGTACTCCTTTTCTTTTTGCGAATACAGACTAACACGGCTGTTCCTCTGAAACCTATTCCAAGCCTAGTTTTCCTTAGAGACTAGGCATGCAAATCTGTTGGCTTTAATACAAGATTCCTTTTTGGCTGCATTGTGTTTCTCAAAACCAAAATGTATCTTTGGCTTTCCCACAAAAGATCCCAGGAGTATGTTTTAGATGATATCTACTCCATTTATAGGTCACTCACTGCAAGCCTGCGGGGTTTATAGTAGCATTTGATGATTTAAACAGGCATTTATAGTTGTACAAATAGAAAACATGACAATTTTCAATGGTATTTTAATACCATCCTATTGCTCCAAAATAATACTTGTTCCTTATTGCTCAAGTGATACCACAAACTACTGCATTCAAATGTTTGTTTCATTTAACAGTACTAGATCACTTTTATATGGTCTATAACATGGACAGTGCGTTTGAATTACAGAAAGCAAAGATTGTATTCTATCACAATTCTCCTGTTTCAAGTTATTTCATTTTAGCCCTATAATGCCCCCATATCTAATGGAATTTACAATCTCATTTGCTACCAACATTTTAATTCACTAACAAACAGCCATCATTTGGAGTGTAAGTGGGATGAAGAACACATTTTACTTCATTATATGCAGATAATTGTTTGAAACAGGAAGAAGGGAGATATATTCTTGATAGGTTCTACTCTATTCTTTTAAATTTAGGTACTTATACTACACCCTTCACTCAGTAGTGAGATATGTCTGGATGGTTCCGTTTGGATACTTGGATAAAAATGAATTAAAGTGTATAGAAAGCCTAGAACCAAGAACAAATATGTAAATGTACCCCAGATCAGTGAAAAGGGAGTGGGACCCACAAAAGACCTTCCAAAGCAACATCAGCAACAACCAAATATCAAGCATCAGTCATTAGGATGGTTCCAAATGAGATCCATGATGTGCTGATGTGACAAGGTGCAAGAGGCACTTGGGAGAGCCATGATCAGAATGCCCCAAAGAATTTGACGCTTACACCAATTTTACAGCAATGCAACGTCATTTAATTCAATGCTTCAGAGAGATACTATTAAAATGTCCAATTGCTACAGCAAGCCTCTACTTGTATTTTCTACATGTTACTCCATGTAGCCATTAATTTCAGCCCCACCCAACCCTGGTGTTGGAAAAAGGGGATGTTGCGGATTTAACTTAATTTCAAGGAGGAATTAACAAAACATTCAGTGAGCAAGGAAGGCTACAGAGGGATGGGATGAAAGAATAGAGGGACAGGGCCTCCATATGAATGGTCTCTGCTTTTGGTGGCTTCCCTGCCATGCATGGAGATTTGGAAAGATCTGCAGATTTTGGAGGTAGAGCCACCTGATTTTTCTGTGCATAGAGCTTCCTTTCCCCTAAATAGGTTTCCCCTGGAGAAGGGATGATCTGACCCCCTTTTTGGCCAAACATGATAAAAATGAATTCAAAGATTAGCAATGCCAGAAGAGATTGAAAAGTTTGTGATCCTGAATTATACATGTTTGTTCCACTAGAGTTTTCCTTACAACTTAGAGAAAAATTCAAATATGAGGTAAAAGGGGAAAATATAAATCTATATGTTAGAACAGTAAAAACATGTTAATTAAAAAATCTTGCCATCCTTTTCTAACCTTTTCAAGATGATCTTTTTTATATATATAAATAAAAGAGGACTGTGCATTCACCGAGGCTACATAGGACAGAAACATAGTGTACCTTGAAATTAAAAGCAAGAAATGCCAGCAGAAAGGAAATGTACTAAAGGGATCTTGTAGTAAGTGCGGACACGATGATTTACTATTGTAAAGCCATTTTTAAAGGGGATGATAGTCTTTTTGTCAGTAGGATATTTCTGAGAGAGAAGACATCTTATTCTTGAAGAGCAATTTTAAAAATTGCCACACACAAAGGGACTAGGCCTGTTCCCAAAGAAGATAATGGCAAAACTCTCATTGGGTGTATAGTTAAAGGAGAACACCTCACTCTGTGATTGTTGGTCTTGTGTGTGTGTGGGTGTGGGTGTGGCAGCAGTGTGTGTGTGTGTACAAATGGGGTAAGATCTCACACCCTGCTTTGTTAATTTTGTATTTAGGACAGTGCATTTTATCTGTATCTATATCATCTATTGTTTAAATTAAGCTATAATGTAACAAATGGGACTGTATTCTCTGTCATTAGAAAATGTAAAGGGTGAAATCATGGCCCCATTAAAGTCAATGGCAAAATTCTCACCAACTTCAATGGGCCCTTGATTTCATCCAGAGAAATTAAAAACACAGGGGTGACTTTCTTAGGAGTGTCTTATAAATAGAAACTGCCTTATGGCATATAGTAAATATTTTCTGTATTTGGATAAAAACCAGAACATTAACATTTTGATACAATGGGCCCAGATTCTCAAAGGTAGTCACTGACATAAGCTCAGTTTTGTTTTTTTAGTGCACAATCTTTTTAGTCCACACATCAGGTAGGTTTGCACAGTTTATTTGTGCATGCATACTTTTGAAAACCTGACCAATGTTTTGTAAGTATGAACAGTATTTTTTTTCTCTCTCCCACTGTCTCTTAAAGTCAGGTACAAAAGTCTGAGGACGAAATGTGAAAAATACATTTTTGGAGCTGTCAAGTTTCCTTCCCCACCTGAACTCTAGGGTACAGATGTGGGGACCTGCATGAAAGACCCCCTAAGATTATTGTTACCAGCTTAGGTTAAAAACTTCCCCAAGGTACAAACTTTGCCTTGTCCTTGAACCGTATGCTGCCACCACCAAGCGTTTTAAACGAGAATAGGGAAAGAGCCCATTGGGGACGTCTTCCCCCAAAATATCCCCCCAAGCCCTACACCCACTTTCCTGGGGAGGGCTTGATAAGACTCCTCACCAATATGTACAGGTGAACACAGACCCAAACCCTTGGATCTTAAGAACGATGAAAAATCAATCAGGTTCTTAAAAGAAGAATTTTAATTAAAGAAAAGGTAAAAGAATCATCTCTGTAAAATCAGGCTGGTAAATACCTTACAGGGTAATCAGATTCAAAACATAGAGAATCCCTCTAGGCAAAACCTTAAGTTACAAAAAGACACAAAAACAGGAATATACATTCCCTCCAGCACAGCTTATTTTACCAGCCATTAAACAGAAGGAAATCTAATGCATTTCTAGCTAGATTACTTACTATCTTAACAGGAGTTGTGAGGCTGCATTCCTGATCTGTTCCTGGCAAAAGCATCACACAGACAGACCAAACCCTTTGTTCCCCACCCTCCAGATTTGAAAGAATCTTGTCCCCTCATTAGCCATTTTGGGTCAGGTGCCAGTGGAGTTACCTTAGCTTTTTAACCCTTTACAGGTGAAAGGATTTTGCCTCTGGCCAGGAGGGATTTTATAGCACTGTATACAGAAAGGTGGTTACCCTTCCCTTTATATTTATAACAGGAGCTTTAGTCATTTCTATTGTATATAGGAGTGTAGCAAGGGGCATGGCTCCCTCTGGGCCTGACAGGGAGGAACCCAGCCCACTCCCTGGTGGGTAAAGCCAGGCTAGCTATGCCTGCCCCTTCAGAAGCAGAGGGGCGAAACAGGAAGTACAAAAGGTGGGCCCTCCAGTTCAGTTGGATGAAGCCAGTGAAGGAAACAGACACCTCCCACCACTGCTGGGGCTTGTGCTCTACATCACAGAGGATTTAAAGGGGCTACCAGAGCTGCCAGCTAAAGAGGGCACTGAGGAGCTGCTAGGACTGCTGCTAGCTGTGTACCCTGAGGAGACAGAGGACATGCACAAAGTGAAGGTACCCAGTGAGGGGGTTATAGGAAGTAGTCCAGGAACACCAGACAATAGTCTGGTTGTAGTG